TTCGTGTTGCAGAAATGATAAATCTCGTCTAATTGTCACTTTTTTCTAACTAGCATCTGGCTCTTACAGTTTTATTCTTTTCTTAGATATTGGTATGAGGCGTATGAAGTTGTCATTTTTTAATAGGATATTAATGGCTGACTGAATCTTTTATGTATTTTAATTTTAATAACCAAGCATTTTAAAATCTGTCTCTGGACTAAATAATTATTTAGATTTCCTGTTTTAAATCAGTGCTTTATAAAAAATATGCAGCCCCCATCCTCAGGTGGTAGGTAAGACCATTTGGCTTTCCAGTGGCTTTTTCTGGGTGAAAACTCCACATGGTTGAATTAATATGGGTTTGGCATAGAAAGAGATGCTTCTTTTCAAAGCAAAACTTAGCGCTTACTGATGGCATGAGGCATGACTTCCTCAAGAAAAATAAACTGTGCAATTCATTTTATGGCAGATTAATCCCCATTTATTTCCCTTGAAGACAGCTCTCTAGAGGAGGTTGTCCCTTGTTATGAAGCCATTTCATGGATCCTGGCTCTCAGATCTCGGGGAGGCGCGACTTTCTCTGATGAAATAAAAAGTTATGGTGTGTGATTATTTCTCTTGTCAGCAAACCTCAGCTCGTGAGCTTTAATAATAAAACGTTCAGTATTTCCAGCAATTCTTCTTGATACCTAAATAGCCATCTGCTCCTAATTAAAACAAAAAAAATCCCTGCATTGACACAATACAAAAAAACCCCAAGTATTTCCTCCTTTATCTTGAATTAAAACACTTACCTAGAAACGGATCAACCTCTCATCAGTCAAGGTTTCTGAGAAGCTCACAAGTTTTGAACATCGAATGCGACGGTATTGACGAAACACATTTTTGTCGAATTCTCCGTCTAAGAATTAAGTGTTTTTTGTCAACTGAGGAACAATTCCATGTTAGACTGGTAGGATCTCTGAAAGGAAGGGACTTGCAGGTTACCTGGCGCAGGTGAACATTTTATAGATGAATAAATGGAGACCCAGAGAGGCGACCTCCCAGATCACACACTGGGTCAACTTGGTATGTTTAGGTAAATGCTAGATTCACGTCAGATGGACGGGTTTCATGCTCTGTAGTTTTCTCAGACGGCTAATTGTGAGAAACTAGAACCATTCTGATAACTGTCTTCAGTTTGATAACACTGGAGTACAATTATATAGACAGTCTAGATAATTGAATCTAATTTATTTCCCATTTTCGCCCTGGGTTCAAGAACATTAATAGAAACCCTCATTTCACTGTGTCCACACATGTGTTAGAATGGAGAATTCAGACAAGAAGTAATGACTGGAACACACAGATTCCAGTGTCCACGATGGCCTTCTGGCCCCGCAGGGGCCCATCAGGGCCTTCCTTCTGGGAAAACCAGTGTTTCTAACGTTCTGAAAGGCTCATCCAGTAATGAAGTGAGGCATAAAACAGAGATCTGCTTCCTATGGCTTCCCACGCTGATTTCAGGCAGGCTGTATTGCGGTAAGGGAGTGGGTTTGAGGCTGGTCCCTTTAGGGCATCTGATTCTGTCTCTATTCTGGATGCATTGCTCCAAATGTAAGCAGCCTAACAAGGCTGCCTCGCTTCACAGAAACCAAAACACTGTTGAGATTGCCTGAGGCCACCCTGGTATGAAATATGCCCAGAAAATGAGAGTCTTTCTGGGACAGAGAGGAGCTGGGCTGGGGGTGATGGCGTGGGGGTGACGGGACAAATACCTAGCATTGGATCGAATACTAATTAGACACATATCACTGATTTTTCCATTTTTTCCTGCCTTATCTCCTATAACCCAGATGAAGGTCTCTGTATGGGATATATATTTGCAAGTTACTTGGAAAACTAGTGGTTGCTTCATAGCCTAGAAAACTCTGACCCCAACATTGTAGTGGGACAGTAACCAAAGAAAGCTTGATTTTATATCTTGAATCAACTTAAGCTCTATAACTTATCATTTTGATTTTTGCATATTGTATTTCTGCAGGGTAATTAATGTTACCTCCAACCTAATGGAGATACACTTTGGGTTTGAAATAAAATGTAAGCAATTTCTTTTTTTCAGATTGGGTACTTTTTTCCCCCCTCTAGTTTTACTGAGTTGAAACACTGCTTCTTAGAAATAAATCAAAGTCCCTACTAAGAAAGGGAGGTATCTGTTCACAAGTATTACAGAATTATAGACTCATGGGACAGAGAGAAGTGTACTGCAGCCTGGTGCTAGAAACAGTCTTGGACCCGAAGTCCCCGCTCTGCCGCTCAGACCCGGGGACCTCAGGAAGGACTGGTGTGATGCTAGATTACAGAAGCAGTGACACAATTTCACTATTTCTTCTTTTTGTTTTTCACTTTCAAAAAAATTATCTCTAAACTGAAAGGTTAGGAAAAAATAAGTCTCTCAATATAGAGAGAGGAAAGCAGGATTATCTGTGACTGCTTCCAGTGAGTGCATGCTTGAACGTCTAAAAGCTCTCAGCGTGCTTGGAGAAATTACAGAATTGATCTCTTCACTGTGAATAATCGTCATGAAATGATGATGAAGGAAATAACTTCCCAAGACTGGAATCAGATCAGTGCAGTGTCTGTGTACATAAAAAGGCACATTTCAGGTTCCAAGTTCAGTGCACTTGGTCCTGAGCTTCAGAAACATTCTCAAGTAGTCGCATCAATGCTTAAGTAATACTCCCTTCTCGGCAATAGTGATGCTCCTAGCAATACTCCCAGCGGTACTCCCAGCC